ATTGCATGCCACCCATGCAATCCGATTCCAGTTCAGCAAAAAAAATGCCTGCACCTTTTTTGTGTGGGTACGGTGTGATTTGAACCCATTCAAAATGAATGGGCTCAAATCGCACTGCAAAGAACCTCATGTGATTTGAACAGGAATGTGGTGCGATTCTTGTCTGAATCACATGCAGTTTCCTGCAGCGCTAATGTATGAACCCAGGCTATAGGTCCAGTTCACTTCTAATCTATTCACATTGTTTCCAATCAAGCCCTAGTAAAGGGGACCCATAAAACATGTTGGAACTGGATTGTCCCCCTGACTTTTCTTGAAAAGAAAAAAGTTGTATTTGGACCTCTTAGCAGTGGTGTGACCTTCTATTTCCATTTTTGTTATACAGTAATACGCTACAAGCCAAGGCGCCCATGGAGATCCTCTGGGGTGTAGAAACCACCTGCCCAGGATACGGATCATTCACATCAATACATTAAGATAGCAATAGCAACAACAATAAGATAACCTTACAAGTCCAGCACTATTTTTACACTTTCCTCAATTATTGGTAAAACTTGGAATAGGCAACTGTCAACTGATTTGTAATATTACCTATAGAATAAAGGTCATTTGTCTTCCTAGGTCTCAGGGTGCTGAAAAAAAGAGCTATTTTGAAAGCATCAACTATCTAGTTCCTTTACCAACCGGACAGGAGGGTGATTATTTCAAGGAGCCTGGGGAAATGCATTTTAGTTCATTTATTAAACTGTATGTACTTGCTGTTGTTAGCTTTTTCCTAGGTTCAACCACATTAGCAGCACATTAACTTTCCTTTGCTCTTCCACTGCTCTGTCCATCTTTCGGGAATGAAAAATAACCAATACTTCTGGATATTACAGAGTGTGTGACTCACACCCCTCCCAGTGCTCCCACCTATTGGGGTTGAGAGAGCCCTTATACTTTTTTACAGTACAAGTTATGACTTAAAGCTTACACGGGGCTAAAGCGGCCATACACGGGTCGAATTCCAAAAGAATTTTCTTTCAAAAATCTTTTCACAGAAACAACCAATTTTCTTGTGACCATTGAATTTTAGTGATTGGGCATGTTGGAAATGTTTTGAAAAACGAATGAATTTCGAACTAATGATGGGAGAATCATGCAAGAAATTTAAAGCTGTGACCTGGAAAGAAAAGAAAATTCTTGGCCACAAAAATTCTTTTCTGTAGCAACACGAGGAGAAACTGAAGGCTTGGTTGGTTGAATTTCGAAATCAATGGTGGCACCATCAGATTACAAAAATCTTCCTCATATCAAACGGAAGGAAACATTATTATTATACAGTATTTATACAAAAGGTTTGCTCAGCGCTGTACATTATAGTGGGGGACAGAACATGAGACAATACAGTAACAAAACAATACACGAGAGGTTCGAGGGCCCTGCTCTGTCGAGCTTACAATCTAGGAGGGAGGGGATAGTGGTACAGGAGGAAGTGGCTGTGGGGGATGGAGTGGTAAGAGGAGTGGAGGAGATCGGCTGTTAGGTGAGAGTGGGGTAGGCTTCCCTGAAGAGATGGGAAACATAGGGAAGATCACCATTTGCAGCTGGTTTAGCTGGTATTTTAGTGAACCTCTAGCTTTATCCTACATGAGTAAAGCACAGGTTCACTTTAACCTCCCTAGCGGTCTGATTATGTCCATATTTCTGTGCTCAAAGCGGTAAGTTTTTTTGCATGGAAATATGTAGTTTTTTTATTGTAGGGCTGTAATTTTTAGAAATAACTCACTGAAATCTGTCCGAACAAGAGTCTAGTAAACATCCCGGGTATGTTACAATCTGAAACATGAAATCATAAATTATAATTTAATAAATAATTATAAAAAATAATAATATAATAATAATACATTTAATTCAATAATATAATCAAACCAAAAACACTGAAATTTGAAATATAGCGCCAACTTCGCACATCACTGAGCAAAGTCGCAAAATCGTTTTCAGTGTCTGATGACGAATTTCCCCACGAATCATTATCACTCAATTCTGCAAGTGGTTCTAATTTACTATCGCTGTTCTCTAGTTGGTCTAAAACCACTTTTGACCTAAAGGGACGCTTTTTGGACGCCATGGACGTTTCTCAGTTTCGAGGCAGAAAGAACAGTAAAAATGCAGGCAGGGCACAGGACAAAGCACTCGGGACAAAATGTATGTGAAATGATTTGATACAGTAATGTTTTACTATGTGATTTTAGTGAATTTAGTGAATGTCACTTTTTGTCATTTTCAAATTTCCGGCCGTTCCGTCCCCCGTACGTCCCGACGCTAGCAGGGGACGGAACCCAGATGACAGATGCCGGCATCCGCCAGATTACATTGCTGGGGACACTGCAGGAGGGACATCGCGGGAGCGCAGGACAAGGTAAGTGAAGAACAGATCCCTGAGCAGCGCCGCATGGTAAGCCCGAGTGTAGCTCGGGGTTACTGCTTGTGGTACTGAAACTTTACCCCGAGCTACACTCGGGATATACCACCAGGGAGGCTAAGAATTTTATTCTACTACACATCAAGAAGAATAAATATGCAGCTTTCACTGAGCATATAAAATCACCTAAGCAAATATAACGCTGTCCTGTAGTGACACAGCACCTGGCGGGTGAAATCACAACACGCAACAGGAGACACACTATCTGACACACCTGGAAGTGTCGGATATTATTACAGGTATTTATATAACACTGACAATTTTTACAGCGCATTACATATTGTACATAAACATCAGTCCCTGCCCTTAAAGAGCTTGCAGTCTAAATCCCTGCCTTACATAGAGTGAAGCTCAGACAGAAGCCTTTGGACATTGCGGATAGACTATTGCATGATTTCGTCAGGATCGTGGAAATCATGCTACAGCTTCACTGTATGCATTAGGATAAATGTTATTATTTACTATTCCTTAGACTCTATTATTCAATAAATCGGTGAATATGCAGGCTATGCAAAGTGTGGTAACCCAAAACAACCAATCAGAATCAATGTTCTGATTACATTTTTAAAGTATGTGTAAGCTCAGTCACTAAAATCTCATATAAGGTTTAACATGTTAAAGTGAACCTGAAGTCAACCAAGTAAAGGTTTGCTGTTTTATATCGAATATCTAGAAATGTCAATTGTGCCTATGTGGTATCCTGAAAAAAATTACCTATTTGTCTGGAATTCCTCCTGAAAAGCAACAGTGCACCCCCCGATATTTGAGGGTGCCAAGGCACTCATGTGCCTGTAATCTCATAGCTGTAAATCTGAAGTGTAAGGTCTAAATTTTTGGTGATCTCACTGTGGTGCTGCCCACTACAGGCTCTTTCAATAAGAATCAAAGCCATACCCATACCAAAATTGCCACCTCAACAGAGAATTATAGTGCATTATAGGCATGGTAAGTCAGTAATGGAGAAAAATTTAGCTGCACGGAGACTACAGTCAATACAAGTGCTCGCTCTCTGCCTTTTTTTTGGACAAAGCATCCTAGTTTAGCTTCTATTTAATGTCTAGTGGTACCACTGCTGAGGCCACTTGATCGTGCTTGCCCCCAGTGGTTGCTCTGACCTTGCAAGCCTCCTGACACCTCTGACTCTCAGGGTTCAGAAATATTTCAACAGTATAGAATAATAATGCAAGAGACACAACTCTTTAGTAACACTTCTATATTAGACTTGTTAAAAAGAGTAGGCTACAGGAATAATGGTTTCAAAATATACATCCCCAGTTAACGCATAAAAATAGAACACTGGTAAAATAGGAATAATCAATTGGCAACATTTAACAGGTTATACAGTTGTGAGTAGTAAGCTTCAACTATTTAATTACAACACCAGCAGAAAGAGGGGGAAGAAAAGGGTTGATGACTGATCAGCTCCATCTGTGCCAATAGCGCAATAAGTACCCCAAGTTGAATAACAATGGTCTTAGAAGAGAAAAGGTCCCTTTAACTAGAGATTGCAACTTGAATCCTGCAATGTTTAAAGTTTTTGATATGGTGGTATCTGCTGCCTTCTGCTAGCAATGGTGGGGCCCATAAGCATTAATGAATACTGGTAATTCAATTATATTAAACAGATAAGCCATGGTACTGCTCAAAGCAAAGATCTCTTGATAACTGAGGAGTAAATGTGTCTGAATACAGTGTCTCTAGAGTGATGACAGAATGAAGTTGGGCATCCGCCCAATCCTATGGATAGCACAGTCTCCTAGGAACAAGAGTTCTTGTCCACGTTCTTGGCTGTTTGCAGGGATGTGCAGAGTGACTGCCTGATGGCCTGTCAGCACAGCAAGTAGAGATATCTGTGTAAAGAAGACAGTGACAGTGCTGATGCAGAGAAGCTGATGCGATCCTGGTGTGGTGATTGGTGTCACTGCTGTGCTGAACTGGTGTGCAGAATTTGACAACAGTAAGCTAGAAATTTGTCCCTGGAGGAGAACAGCAATCTCCCTGTGTTCAGCACTGAATCCCACATCAAGAAGAGAGAGAGATAGTTCCTTGTTGTAGAATATATCTGCTTTCTTAGCATCCTTCTCATTTGCCAGCTCTCTGGTAGTTGTAGTTCAAATCAGCACTCAAGAATACAGGATGTCTTGCCTATAGGACTACAGGTCCCAAGATCCTCTGCTGTCAGAAAAAACAGAATCCACTCTGCTAACAGGAAGTGATGCAGCGATCCCAGTACTGGGCACTAGGGGGAAAAGAAGTACTCATAGTCTCATCTGTCAATGTCCCTGAATGGCATAATGATATACCCAGCACCTGGCTACAATTGTAATTCAAAAGTCATTTTAACCATGAATATATACTATCTGGTGATCATGCCATGATGGTCCTTGTTCAGATACTTCCTGTTTTAGGGTGACAACATCATCCCTTTCTCCCCATTGTACTCCTGCGTTATGATCTTGTCACATGTTATATCAAGTTGCTGATGCGGATGTACATTGTAAAAGCATGGCCCACCACTGCAAACACTGAAAGTGTGCTAAAGTCACTCATTATATCCTAAAGTGGAGCTCCACCCAAAAGGGGAAGTTCCACTTTAAAGACTGGTCCCCCGCTCCCCCCAATAAGGATTGGCACCTTTGGGGAGCGGGTACCCGAATTTGACAGGTACCCGCTCCCACTTCCACTGCGATCACCTAGGCCAGTGGTCGGCAAGCCGCGGCTCGCGAGCCACATGCGGCTCTTTACAAACTTAAATGTGGCTCTTCTGTGTGCCGGGCGCCCGCTCCCCTCCCTCCTCTCGGGCGCCCGCTCCCCTCCCTCCTCTCGGGCGCCCGCTCCCCTCCCTCCTCTCAGGCGGCCGCCCCAAAAGTCAGGACAATGCAGCTGTCAGGATGTAGGCGGGGCAGCCAGGATGTAGGCGGGGCAGCGTGACAAACTCCTCTCCTCTCACAGTCCGCCCTGAAGACCAGAACGGCGCGGGAACACGGCGAGAGGAACGCGCAGGAGCAAAGGTAAGTGAATTGACACAGGGGGGACTTACTATATGGGGGGATGAATTACTATATGGGGAATGAATTACTATATGGGGGATGAATTACTATATGGGGATGAATTACTATATGGGGGATGAATTACTATATGGGGGATGAATTACTATATGGGGATGAATTACTATGGGGATGAATTACTATGGGGGATGAATTACTATGGGGGATGAATTACTATATGGGGGATGAATTACTATATGGGGATGAATTACTATATGGGGATGAATTACTATGGGGGATGAATTACTGTATGGGGGATGAATTACTATATGGGGATGAATTACTATGGGGGATGAATTACTATATGGGGGATTAATTACTATGGGGATGAATTACTATATGGGGGATGAATTACTATGGGGGATGAATTACTATATGGGGGATGAATTACTATGGGGGATGAATTACTATATGGGGATGAATTACTATGGGGGATGAATTACCATATGGGGAATGAATTACTATATGGGGGATGAATTACTATATGGGGGATGAATTACTATGGGGGATGAATTGCTATATGGGGGATGAATTACTATGGGGGATGAATTACTATATGGGGGATGAATTACTATGGGGGATGAATTACTATATGGGGGATGAATTACTATATGGGGGATGAATTACTATGGGGGATGAATTACTATATGGGGGATGAATTACTATGGGGGATGAATTACTATATGGGAGATGTATTTTCAGTTTTAAAAATGTGGCTCTCAAAATAAATTTCAGTCGTGGTTTTGGCAAGATTTGGCTCAGTTGAAAAAAAAGGTTGCCCACCACTGACCTAGGCGATCGGAAGCGGAAGTTGTACTCCCCTCCCCGTAGTCTTCTGGGACACGTGACAGGTCCCAGAAGACTAGAGGACCATTCAGGCAGAGCTTCTCACAACTCGGCAACTGGCTGTGAAGCTGCAAGCTGTCACAGCCGGGTGCCCACACTGAAGATGCCGGCTCCAGGAACACCAGATGGCTGGTGAAATGGGCTGCAGGGAGGACACCGTGGGACCGAGGGACAGGTAAGTGGCTGTTTTTTAAAAGTCAGAAACTACAGTTTTTGTAGCTGCTGACTTTTATTTTTTGACAGTGTGAGTGTAACTCCGCTTTAATGTTAGTTTTATATGATCTACTGTAGCTAGATACAGGCGGTTCCACACATATGTTTTGGGTGGAAATGGATTCTTGAAGACTGAGCTATGTAGTATCCTTTCTGTCTGGTAGATGTATCACATGCTATCTGGTTGATGTACTTGGTAGTGGATGTGTTTGGGAATAGTATTACAACTATCAGTTTACTTTAAAAAAAAAATAATAAATGCACATTTTTTGGAGGTAAAAAAGCAAATTTTTTTTCCTAAGGAGCCTGCAGAGCATTGCACCCACAATCAACAGATCCTACAGGCTCTCAGCATAGCTGTCTGCCTGTACCTCATACAGGCAAGCGGTTACCTGAGAGCAGGAAGAATCAATGGACTACCAGACTGCTTACAGCACCCTCATAGTGACAGTACTTGCAGAAATTCACAGGAAACTGTGAATGAATGATGTGGCTGTGTGGGGGGAACCCCGCACGGCCGCCTTAATTTAAAATTGTGACAGGGGGTTCATGGAGAGGATCCCCCACCTGCTATCACAGGGAGAAAAGGTGAACAGGGAGAGGCTGCAGGAGCTGGAACATGTTACATGTTCCACCCATTTATAGGGTGTAACATGTAACATGTTCTGAATGCGAACTTATCCTTTAAGCAAAAGGGGGTTCCCAGATCACCAGATTACTGATAAAGAGAACTGGTTTGGGCTAGTATTCTACTGTAAGGCTTGAATTTTAAAAACAAGGTACTGACCAGCTAGGTTGCATTTGTGTTCCCTGTATGCAATTTAAAGTGATACTATACTTAAAAATGTTTTCTACCTTAATGCATTGCTTGCATTAAAGTAAAAAACGTTTTTATTCTTCTGTCCTCCCCCTGTCTGTCTGAAGAGAGAGAAGAAGAGATCAGCACTGTACACAGCTTGCATCTCTATTCCCCTTGCTTCCTCTTCATATAGGGCAGCGGTTCTCAACCTGGGGGTCGCGACCCCTTTGGGGGTCAAACGACGCTTCCACAGGGGTCGCCTAAGACCATCGGAAAACACATATTTACGATGGTCTTAGGAACCGAGACACCGCTCCTCCTCGCCGCCGCCGCTGCCACCGCCGTCTCCAGGTGTTGGGCGGAATGACATGCCGCCCCTGTCATCTGGACACACCTCGAGATCAATCCTCGCCTGTGATTGGCCGCCGGCACTGTAGCTCAGGAGAGGCACACAGGCGGCCAATCACCCGGCAAGGAGGTGGAGCTTGGAGAGGGAGAGCCGAGCGGCACCGCGAAGATCGAGCGAGTGTGAAGAGGAGAGAGCGGCCCCGGAGAGAAGGAAGACATCTGACAGGTAGTGTCGGTACCATGGGAGAGGGAGGGAGTGAGCGAGCCCAGGCTGGAGCAGGGGTCTGCAAGGTAAGTATCATTGGTGTCAGTGGGAATAGTGCCCCATCATTGGTGTCACTAATACCAATGAAGGGGCACTATTCCTCCCACTGACACCAACGATGGACACTATTCCTCCCACTGACACCAATGATGGGGCACTATTCCTCCCACTGACACCAACGATGGGGCACTATTCCCTCCCACTGACACCAACGATGGGGCACTATTCCTCCCCCAAATGACACCAACGATGGGGCAAATTCGATTCCATCCCCCCCCACTGACACCAAGGATGGGGCACTATTCCTCCCCCCACTGCAACGATTCCTCCCCCCACTGACACCAAGGATGGGGCACTATTCCTCCCCCCACTGACACCAACGATGGGGCACAATTCCTCCCCCCACTGACACCAAGGATGGGGCACAATTCCCCCCCCCACTGACACCAAGGATGGGGCACTATTCCTCCCTGACACCAAGGATGGGCACTGACACTGACAACAAGGATGGGGCACTATTCCTCCCCCCACTGACACCTGATGGGCCTATTCCTCCCCCACTGACACCAAGGATGGGGCACTATTCCCTCCCCCCACTGACACCAAGGATGGGGCACTATTCCTCCCCCCACTGACACCGAAGATAGGGGCACTATTCCTCCCCCCACTGACACCACCAAGGGGCACTATTCCTCCCCCGCACTGACACCAAGGATGGGGCACTATTCCTCCCCCCCTGGGCACTAATTCCATCCACACTGATACCAATTGATGGGGCACTATTCCTCCCACTGATATCACGAAGATGGGGCACACCTCCCACTGGATGGGGCACTATTCCTCCCCCCATCACTGACACCAAGGAATGGGGAACTATTCCTCCCACTGACACCGATGAAGGGGCACTATTCCCCCCACTGACAATAAAACCGATGATGGGCACTATTCCTCCCCACCACTGACACCGATGACGGGGCACTATTTCCCCCACCTGATACCAAAAATGACGGGGCACTATACCTCACACACTGATACCGATGACGGGCACTATTTCCATCCACTGACACCCGATGACGAGGCACTATCCTCCCACTGACACCAATGACGGGGCACTATACCTCCCACTGATGGGGGCACTATTCCTCCCACTGATACCAACTGATGAGGCACTATTCCTCCCACTGATACCAATGATGAGGCACTATTCCTCCCACTGACCACCAATGATGGGGCAACACTATTCCTCCCACTGATACCAAAACAGAGGCACAATTACACCTCCCACTGAATACCAATGACGGGGGCACTATTCCTCCCACTGATACCAATGATGGGATGGGGCACTATTCCTCCCACTGATACCAATGATGAAGGCACTATTCCTCCCACTGATACCAATAATCCTCACCACTGATGGAATGACATTCCTCCCACTGGCACTATTCCTCCCAATGACGGGGCACTATTCCTCCCCACTGACACCAATGATGGGGCACTATTCCCACTCCCACTGACACCAATGAAGGGGGCACTATTATTCCTCCCACTGACACCAATGAAGGGGCACTATTCCTCCCACTGACACCAATGACGGGGGGGCACTATTCCTCCCACTGATACCAATGATGAGGGCACTATTCCTCCCAATGACACCAATGACGTGGCACTATTCCTCCTACTGCAAAATTACAGTTATGAAGTAGCAACGAAAATAATTTTATGGTTAGGGGTCACCACAACGTGAGGAACTGTATTAAGGGGTCGCGGCATTAGAAAGGTTGAGAACCACTGATATAGGGACTCAAACAGCAGTAGGAGCCATTGGATCTTTCTGCAGTCAATCAAATGTGGTGAAGAGGAAGTGGTGGGGGCTAAGTCCCGCTGTGTGTCTATGAAGCGTGGCTGCATAGGCACACAGGCTGGAAGTGAACATGCAGCATGTGTCCCCATAGCAAACAGCTTGCTATGGGGACAAGCAAAAAATAGGATCTAGGATCACTGGTGGGGAACCCGAGAAGAGAAGGATCGGGGCCGCTCTGTGCAATACCACTGCACAGAGCAGGTGAGTATAACATGTTTGCTATTTTAATAATGAAAAAAAAATCTGCCTGTAGTAACACTTTAACTCTTCATATTCAGTTTTGATGGGATTGTTGATTTAATCACAAACAGTTGTCATACAACTGTACACATCCTTGCTCCTAATGAATAAACCTGCCTTTTTCATGAAATCTCTTGTTTGGTTTGCTTTTATGCAGCTTATCAGAAAACAAATTTGAACAACAAAATTTTTTGAAACTTGTGGAAGGAGTTCAGCATTTTACATTTCTCAGGACAATTCAGTAAGTATATTGTTTAACATTCTACAACTACAGTTGCAAGAAAAAGTATGTGAACCCCTTGGGATTACGTGGAGTTTTGCATGAATTGGGCATAAAATGTGCTCTGAATGTCATCTAAGTCACAACAATAGAAGAACACAGTCTGCTGAACATAATACTACACAAACATTAGATGTTGCCATGGTTTAATTGCACATAACATGTAAACATTCACAGTGCAGGGAGGAAAAAGTATGTGAACCTTTGGACTTAATAACTGCTTGACCCTCCTTTGGCAGCAATAATCTCAACCAAATGTTTCCTGTAGTTGCAGATCAGACCTGCACAACGATCTGGAGTAATTTTGGACCACTCCTCTTCACAAAACTGTTTCAAGTGTAGCAATATTCTTGGGATGTCTTGTGTGTGAATCGCTCTCTTAAGGTCATGCCACAGCATGTCAATCGGGTTGAGGTCAGGACTCTGACTGGGCCACTCCAGAAGGCGTATTCTGTGCTGTTGCAGCCATTGTTTTGTTGAATTACTTGTATGCTTTGGGTCATTGTCCTGTTGCATCACCCATCCTCTGCGGAGCTTCAGTTGGTGGACAGATGGTCGTACGTTTTCCTGCAAAATGTCTTGATAAACTCTGGAATTCATTTTCCCAACAATGACAACAATCTGTCCAGGCCCTGAGACAGCAAAGCAGGCCCAAACCATGATGCTCCCTCCGCCATGTTTCACAGTGGAGATGAGGTTTTGATGTTGGTGTGCTGTGCCTTTTTTTCTCCACACATAGTGTAGTGTGTTCTTCCCAAACAACTCAATCTTGGTTTCATCTGTCCACAGTATATTTTGCTAGTAGTGCTGTGGAACATCCAGCTGCTCTTTTGCAAACTTCAAACGTGCTGCAATATTCTTTTTGGACAGCAATGGCTTCCTCCGTGGTGTCCTCCCATGTACTCCATTCTTGTTTAATGTTTTCTTTATTGTAGATGTGTCAACAAAAATATTAGCATGTGCCAGAGATTTCTGTAGGTCTTTAGCTGACACTCTGGGATTCTTCTTTACCTCATGCAGCATTCTGCGCTGTGCTCTTGCAGTCATTTTTACAGTACGACCGCGCCTAGGGAGAGTAGCAACAGTGCTAAACTTTCTCCATTTGTAGACAGTCTGTCTTACCGTGGACACATGAACATCAAGGCTTTTGGAGATACTTTTGTAACCCTTTCCAGCTTCATG